GTCGAGGATTCCTGGACCTCGTGCTGAGGCCCGCGGCCTTGGGGACCCCGGCTCCCGGCGCGAAGCGGCTTCCTGCCATGGCCTCGCCGCACAGTTTGGGGGTGCTCTCCCGACGGGAGGCGAGAGCAGGCGCTGCCCCGTGTTTCTGTGCCCTCTGTGAGGCAGCGGCAGCAAACAGCTGTTCCAGCAACCTCCATGAGCGAGCCAAGGGTTTAAAGCTCTTCTGAAGCCTACTCCTGGTGAAGGCCCCAGAAGCTAATCCATACACTAACTCGAGTGTCTGATGTAAATACTGATGAGGTTTTTTATTGGCAAAACTTCCGAATTTGAATTGAATTCATACATCAGATTTCTAAAAAAACATCTTTTTTCAAAATACATCCTGGTACACTGTTCAAATTGTGACCAAAAATCCTTAGTAATGTATGTCCTGGGAGTGAAGTATTTGAGAACTGAAGCACAGGGTTCATGAAAGGAGTTTTATTAAAAGAACCAAGGAGTGAGGAAACAAAGGGGGAAGGGAGGATTGTTCCTCCGCTGCATTAGTATTTATACCTGTTCTTGAGTTCGGGAGGTGTTCCAATGCCGAGAAATATTTCTATTCATGCACTGAGTTGTGTTTGGTTCAAAGCCAAGATGGGTATAAGGTGCATAAATGTATACTGGGTTTTGTGTGCCTGTTACATTTCTGTATACCTCTACATAATATAAAGTAAGGCCGTTCAAGGATAATTGAGATTTTATTCTTTCCGCTAAATTTCTTGCGCTGTATTAAAACTTCTTTCTCTGCTTGTGACAGTAGCTGAAAACAAAGGAGGAAAAAGTGTTTCTAAATCTGTGAAAGCATGAGTGACAGTGTTGCACAGGACTAGGGTTGAGTATATATTCCTTCAGACTTTACCTGGACAATGTCTACTTTTAGGAGAAACCTAAGGAATATTTAAAGCCGTTTTCTTGTTTCCTTTTCCTCCCTCCTTCTCTCCATAGTCTAAGCTAGCATTTCTAGTCTTCCTGAGGTAGCTACTTTATTAAAACACAGAAGGCACCCCTAGAACAAGATTGGGTTGGTCCTACCAAAACCAGCTAATGCCTCAACAACCTCAAAACTAAGAAAATGAAAACTCTTGTGATCTAAGGGGGCTAGCTAAAGGTTTCCATTTCCATCTATTCAAATTTAGAAAATGTTATAGAATCCTAATTTTTTACAAGTTCACTTGCTTGCAATTACATAGGAAGAACAGTGATAAAACCCAAGCTCTTGCTTTTACTATTTAATTACATTTTCTTTGCTTTCAATTTCCTTTTTCTGATGAAAAGACCACTCTGTATGGGAGATCCAAGTTCAGTCCCAAATCCCAGGCATGAACAGAATGGCAGAATTCACATCGCAGTTGATGGACAGCATAAGTACAAAGACTTAGAGAGGCTGGTTCAGAGGTGTTGATCAGTGTTTCAGATCACTTCGGTCTGCCAGCTGAAAGATACTGGCATAACAAAATCTAAAACCATGTGAAAGTCACCTTGTTTTCAGACGTCACTACTAAATAGTAGAATGGTTCTTTTCCACCAAAGCTGCTTAGGTTATAGATGGAAACAGTGAGGAAACACTTGGAATCAAATTCATCCCTGATGGGAATTTCTTGCAACTTACAGGCTTACATCATTGGTAGAAATTGAGGATGTGACACCATCATGGAAGAATATGATCTTTCTTCTTAGCTTGTTTTTCACTGTGTGAATATTTTGGCTCTGGTTTTGCTATGATTTGGGTTTGACTGAATCTTTGGGGGGAAAAAAAAAGGTGTGAATGCTAAATCAGAAATGAAAAGTTGCCACTTTGCTAGGTATATACTGCAGCCATATGCGGTCAAATGTTTGCAGTGTAATAGCTGTCACAGGCCACTAAATCCAGTTGATTTGAGTAAAAGAAGGTAAGATAACTGTTGTGGAAAGTGGATGTTGAAAGTATCACTGGAAGGCCACTTGGGTGACCTGCCCAACTGTCACAAGAATCCTTGATCCCTTCTCTTCTCCCCGTGCAGGACCGGACTGTTCCAGCTGTTGTCTCTCATGGACATGATAGGCCAAAATCACTGCTGGCATAAGAGGAGCGCTCTTTGGCAGATTTGCACAAAGGACAAATATGAACTACTGACTTCTAGTTGCTGTGGACAGCTGTGAAATGAAGTGAATTTTTGATTATCCGTTGCATTAGCAGCAGCAGGAGAGACTACAGCTAGAATAATTTAGCAGATAAAGCAGATAAAAAGGCAGATAAGCATTTTTTTTGCATTTCTTTAAATCAGTGTTAGCCACAGAGTGGATTTGAAAATATCAAATATACATTTCCATACAGGCTGAAGTTGATAGTTTTCTATACTATAGTGTTGATACATATGCTTTTGAATTATGTCCCTTATTTCCATAGCAGATATGTGACACTAGCTTTGATGCAGAAAGCGATCACCCAGCAGTTTGTCATTGCGTCTTTAAGACTTCTTGCCAGTAGCAAAGCACCTGTCAAACAGTGTTGTTCCTAAATAAAACAATTTACATATGAGGAGTTCAAAGCTGCTTTCTCAAATTCTTCCACCCAGGGTTCTGTTCCCCACCTCCTCTTGCCCTCGGCACATATGGTTACAGCATCGGCACTAAGCGTCTGTACGGTGTCTGTACGTTACTAATGAGTGCCCTAGTTAGCTCAGATGTAAGAGAAAAGATCCATTGTTTTAAAATACTCTTTTTTTCCCCCCATGGGCTATTACTTTCACCCTTTGTTTCCTGAAGTCCTCTATGCACCGCTGGCACATTTGATGTTTAAAGTCAATAGCTAATCCTCGAAAAGAAAGGATAAAATAAAATAGACTTAGACAGCAGAGGAACTGTGCAGATAGGAGGAAGATGCTAGGCATATTCTTATCCCAGCACTCTTCCCTAGGACACAGCTGTAATTCAGCTGCTTCCGTACGAGTAGTCTTGCAGCTGGCCCTCCGTCCTAACTTCTGCTTTGTGTCTGTGCTGTTGGGGGTCACTTTACAGTGCAGTTGACAGATTCCTTTACTTATTGTTACATAAACTTTTAATTTAAATTCTATGCAAACCTGTAAACAGCAAAAGAATATAGGTGTTTCAGATTATTGTTTGCATCAACCATCCAAAAAAGCAAAGGAATGTATACCGGTTTCCTGAAAGACAAACTTATTATTACATTTTACAGTCTAAAGGATTATTTGTTTTAATTATCACCAGAAGCATTTGCATTTTCATCATGCAGTGACTCATTAACTACTCAAGACTCCTTTGCAGGTTTGGATACAATGGGATATTTCATGTACTTGATCTGCATGCTGATAACAGGGGTTTGCATGTAGATCAAAAGAATGATACAACCCTGTATTGTCAGAACTGTCTGCCACAGCATCCAGCAAATGCTTATTTGGAAGGCAGTGCTTGGCTCACTTCCAAAGACTTAATTCTAACAGTCAACTCAAAAGAAGCCTGCAACCTAACACTTTTACCATTGATGTATTTGTGCATGCAGACCTACCCTTGACCAGTTTGTTTTGTTGCAGTCAACACCTGAGAGTTGCTCAGCAAACACAATAGCCATGTACTTTTGGACAAAAACACCTGTGGTTAACCTCTGTGGGCTGCGTTCTGCAATGAAATGAAGGGCGGTAGAAGTTAAACAATGGGTGTGACTACCGCAGATGAGTGTTAGTGGGAAAGCGGTGTAACATCCACTTAGCATTCCAGAGATGTGCAATATAATTATGATTTAAATGCCAAAGATTTAAGTAGCAAGATGAGTAACTACAAGGACATGAAAGCCTCCCTTATCTTTCTTTGTGTCCCACTCAAATTCATTTTGCACACCCACAAAACTAATACAAGTAGTGTCACTTGACAAAATTACACTTAATACATGATCTGTACCATCACTTACATTTCTGTAGGTGTGGGCTCTGCTTCTACCAAGGGAAAAATCCAATCTCATTGGCAGGGTTTTAAGTTGAAAGTAGTTCTGTTCCCTTAGTGGAATTACTCCATTTTTACATTGTAACTAAGGTCAGAATCTGACCCATGCTTTGCATTTTGTCCTGTTTGCTCTCATCCTTGCCCTTGGTCGGGGGGAAGCTCCTCACACCTTCATTTATGTATCTCTGCAGGAATGGCTTATGAGCGGGTTTGTAATGTTAGAAATTGTTAATTAAAATCAGCAGTGGGAGCAGCTGGTTGCTGAGTCTGTACGAAAATCTGCTTAATGTCTTGCACAGCATTTAGCACATACAGCAAGGAAAGTGATAATATGAATTTGCAGCCTGATAATATGAATTTGCATACCAGGGGCATAGGCAAAGGGCTACACAGCCCTGTATTAATTCCAGCTCTGAGAAACTGAAGAAAAAATAAGTTCTTGGTAGGAGAGGGGAAACAACTAGTGGTAAAAATAATTATAAACTTTTAAAGAAAATCCTTATAGATGCAAACAAACTGTTGGTAGTATTCGAAATCCAAAAGTGATAGGTGTGATGATAGCTCTGAACAAACGGCATGCATGGTCCTGAGTTCCGGCCTCTGAAGTTGTCTGATGCTTAGGTCAGAATTCAAACCTATATTAAATTTTGGGTTTTTTTTTTTTTCCCTCCAAGCTATTCCTCTTATTTGTCTTTATAGATTACTAGAAAACCTGAGCTGAAAGTCTCTACTGCAGTCCTACCTTCTGTTAGCTGTCAGCAGGGAATAAGAGTATTACCAGCTCAACCAGAGGTGAGATCTTGGAGTAGAAGCAGAGGGGTGAGGCCAGGAGGGGTTCCAGGTGAGGATAAGATTTGGGACTTCAGGTTGTGCTAGGTCAGCTCTTGTAACTGGACTGTTTATGTAAAATAATGCACTCTACAGAGGAAGACAGTGATTCTTCACATACAAGTACATGCATAGCTTTGTGTATGAGTAATTTTATTGCTCCATTGAAATGGAGCTATAGCGTGGATAATGTGAAGTATTTATTCCAAAGCGTTTGAAGAACTGGGACTAGTCATCTGTTTGACTGTAGATATTTGTTTCTGAGAAATATCGTAAACGTTTTCTAGAAATAATTTCTGCTGTCTATGAAGAATCATTTTTATCTCTGGAGGGAAATATATGATTGGTTAAACATTTTAAAGTAAGAACAGCAAATAAAATTGCTCTCTGAAGAATCAGAGAAAGACAGTTTTATGTCTGTAATTCTTAAAATCCATAACAACATGAAACAACAAAAAGTCTTGACATCATAGCAGTAGTTAACACAAAAAGGACTATGGGTCAAATCATGCCTTCAGGTTAGCATCTGTGATTCCGATTTTGGTGAGGGGAAGAGCATGTGAATGTCTGAAGTCACAGGAGGACTGTACTGAAAAAAATTATCTGAAGGTTAGCAATATTTAAGATGCAGCCCCTTGAGAACTGTATGGCCTGAGAGGTGTTTGATTAAAAATACTCTTCTACTCTCCAAAATACTAGTAATTGTCACAGACTGCAAGGAGACAGGGTGACATCCACATTGCCCGATTTTTCACAGTAATTTGGGTGCATGCATAAGGAAGCAGATTTTCCCGTATCACCAAGCGAGAGAGTGCTCCCTCCAGAGGCAGTTCAGCCTGCTTAGGTTACCCTGCTCCAGGTAGTCACCCAGAGGAGCTATTCTCCCATCGTAACTACCTGAGCACAGGTCTCGTTTCAGAGTAGATTCAGCCACAATAGCTAGAGCTCCAGGTTGGCAAATGGATCTTGAGAAAGTCAGATAATGTCCTGTCCCTGCCCTTTGTTTCTCAATCCGTGATAATCTTTTACTTATTCACTTTGCAGCATTGCTGCGTTTTACTTTTGGCCAGTAAGGTACCTTTGACCATTCTGAAATTCCTAACGCAGAACTCGTTTTTTCTGCAAATCTAATCCACGACAGAGTGGCATTTGATTTTGGGCGAGGAAGCCATGTTGTTATTCCAGCAATGTATTTATCGCAGGGATACTCGAGGTCTGGGATGAAATATCAGCATCACTTAAATAAATGACAAAATACTCATTTACATAGAATGAGACTAGGATTTCATTCCTGATTTTTCACAAAGAAGCCGTTGAATTTCTGAAAAACAAGACAGTCAGGACTTCCCTAAATCCACAATGAGAGTTTGCAACACAGCAGCATTTCTAACCTCTCCTGTAAGGCTTAGATCAAACTGCTTTCATCGTCTTTTAAGTATCAAACTCCAGCTGAATCATTATGACACACTGTAATGGTATCACAAATAAGCTTCTTGGCACCTGAAACCTATACTGGTTTTCAGCAGTATTGTAGTGGCTTTATCATATGTTCTATTCACAGATTTCAAGGCGCTTGGCAAAGATAGGGTAGGCGCTGTTACGGCAATTTTACCGAAAGAAGGATGCTTGTTAAGAGTTTCAGTGACTTGCCCAATGTCTTGTTGCAAAATAGCAGTGAAACAAAATCCAGGCATTCTGGATCCAGGATTGTGATCCAACAAAGCACTAAAGCAAGCGCTTCATTTTGAGTAAGAGCTTAAGCTGTTTGAATGGAGACAGATCTAAGTATCAGTTTAAGTACTTCACTGTATTGGGTCTTCTGCTTTCAACAGCTTCTTATTATTTACAGCCATTTCAGTTCTTCTCCTATAACTCAGCAGATTTTTAGATGGCTGTTGGAAAATTTAGATAGATGTTGGAAACATTTTTAAACTAACTCACTCAAGGGTGTGAAAAATGTACTGCTTGGTGGCCTTTTAGCAACCCAATGGTCATGCATATGTTTGAGGTTTCGTGTTTTTTTTCTTTAGATGACACCAGTAACTCGACAAGAAGTTCTTGGCCTTTACCGCAAGATATTCCAAATAGCCAAAAAATGGCAATCCGCATCAGGACAGATGGAAGAAACTATTAAAGAGAAAGAATACATTATAAGTGAAGCCAAAACATTATTCCGAAAAAACAGAAATGTATGTGGGTTTCCGTGTGGCTTTGATTTTCTGAATGAGTCTCTCCTTGCGCTCTGTGTTCTCTCAGTGATTGGATATTAAGATATATTAATATGAGAGTTGATTTCCTAAAATTTCCTTCACTTTACAAACTAGTACAAACATATTATAAGGTGCATTTAGCTTCCAGTTTAAATTTCACCTCCAAAATAATAATGAAAACAAACCATTTCAGATCTTAACTACATTAGAAGGCTAAAAGGTCTAGGGCTTTCATTAAAAAAATGCCAAGAAAAAAACTTAATTCCAAAGATATTGCCTATGAAATTGTCTGAAGTAGCTTTTGATCTTTTAGAAGGCTAGCTAAGTGCATCATTACCAATGCAATGGCAAGCAGAACTCAGTAGCTTCTTGTACTTTCTTTTTCTTTTCAGAGCAACAATTATTGACACTTCTTTTAAAAGAAGCACGCCTTTAATTTTTTTCTTAAGGAAGATGCATGCACATTTTGATATTTCAGATTTCTTTCAAATTAGAATTAGGCAAATTAGGGCAAATGCAGACCCCACAGTAACCAAAGATTTTTTTTTTTTTAAACCATCACAGTATTTATTTACATCCTTTTTTTTTGGTATGGGACAAAATTCAGCTAATGCAAGATCATAAAGTGAATTCAAGACCCAATTTACACCACATTTCTGACTTCAAAGGGAGTTTTCTGCATGGAATGATAACAGAATGTAGCCCAAAAGGTACCTTGCAATATGATGAATGGGTCAGTGTTGTTTTTCATGGAGGTATTAGTAGTTTACATGTGTATGGTCTTTTTACCGATAAAATACCACGTTTGGGTAAAAACCTCATTTCAGAGCCTCAGCTCTGACATACTGTGGGCCTTAATATCCAAAGCCATCAAGCCCAGAACTGTTGAGTCAAGGCAAGTGCTAATGTTACCTTTTATGGATGTGAAAAATGCGCTCATTTTATCCTTGGGATTGCCAAAAAAAAAAAAAAAAAGAGCAAAAGACAGTCATGTGGCTGTGCATCACTTACACTTGAACTTCTAATTGCTAATTGCTGTACTTTCTCTTTTTATAGTTGTTTTAACTCTGTATTATCTTAGGTAACCGATCCAAAGCTGATTAAACAGTGTTTAGAAGAATGTGAGGCAAGAATAGAAATTGGACTTCACTATAACATCCCCTACCCAAGACCTGTGAGTATAATTCTAGTCAGAAGCCTTCAAATGTACCTACTTAGCCTTCACTGGACAATAAAATCATAAATTCACATCACTGTCACTGCACTGCATTTTTAGATAAGCTGGTACTTAAGTGCTGTGATACATCAGAACCAAATGAGCCAAGTGTATATTGAAATGTTCTCTCTCTATCCTATTTCACTGTGAATTGGCTAATTGCCTCTCAAATAAGGAGTCAAAGCTGCAATGTGGTTGCATGTGGTAATCTCTCAAGGATTGCAAATATTTAGGTAGTCTCGACTGACCAAAGAATCATAATGATGCAGAAAAAGATGGTAATGTAATCAAATCTGTTAATCTTTCTACATGAGAAAATAAGAATATTTAATTACATTACGTCTCTGATGGATATAATAATTTTCATCGTCTACACCTCTTGTAAGTGTTCTTGAAATAGACTGGGTCTTGTAAGGTGCCTGCCTACCTATCTTGCTGCCTCTACCTGTTCCTAGAGAAAAACCTGCCAAATATTACTGAAATTGCTGGACGTTTTAGTCATGTCTTCTACTGCACCAGCCAATATAGTTTCCTCACTGCCCTGTCATTTGTGTCTGTATTACTTTATGCTGCCTCCCATAGAAAGTTCCTCTCCCTTCCTGTTGATTAGTTTATGTTGTCACTTCTACAGTTTCCTTGTCAAGGAGGCCATGGCCATAACTACTTTGTATCTTCATCTTTATTTACAAGACGCTTGCCAAGGATACGGCTTCTCTTTCACATGTAGCTTGTTCTTCTCCAGTATACAGAATAACAATGCACATCCGGTCCTGGAACGGGCTTAACATGTGTGCTCTACAGTGGCTTAAAAATCCCGAAGGATCAGTCTTCTAAGAGCGCTCTCATGTAAATTCGATGATCCTTATTTTTCAGATTCTACCAAATCTCTGCTGCTTTAGTCAGTGCTTTTACTACTGTTTGCAGCCAAACAGTTATCTTAAAGGGTGACAGCCTCAGCAACAATAACATCTGACTGCTAACACCTACGATGTTCAATATTTAAGAAGGGCGATACAGCTGTATGACTCCCACTAAGTCTTATGTAGTACAAAGCCTTTGTCGCTCAAAGCAAAAGCCTGTCACCTACTGCTCCTTCTGCTTGTGGAGTCAATGACATTCATTGTGCATTTTAATATGGTATATGTAATCATGACAATAAGAAGGCAGTCTTTCAATATATACAACTTGGAGTTATTCTGTGGCTTGTTAGCTAAGCCACCTTAAGACTTACTTCTACACAGGAATTTACAGTGTTTTCTGGGTCTTTTAAAAGCATTGTTCTAGAATACTATATGCAGTACTATTTCAGCAAATGTTTTTCACCATTACCATTTGACCTTAAACTACAAAACAAAGTTACTAAAGCTTAAGATTTATACGATTTTAATGACTACCAGTGTATTTTACACAATCAATGCAACATTTAATGCCTGAAAGTTAAATCTCTCAGCTCCTCCTAGAAATCTAAGTAAATAACCTGGTTTGAGACAGTGTGGTTATCCTCTCCAAAGTGTGAAGAAAATATTTAAAGCTGAATGAAACCTAGTCTGTATATAAGCCTTCTTTTTCTTGTGGCTGCTCAACGTGCAACTACTGATGGAATTTTGTTTTCTAGATTCATCTGCCTCCTATGGGTCTTGCCTCTAAACAAGGCCGTGCATTTCGACACCAGGAAAAGTTGAGGAAGCTTTCCAAGCCAATATACCTGAAATCCCATGATGATATTTCATAACCCATCATTTAAGCTGCTGTGATGTATTTGGACTGTAATCCAGGCAACTTTTTTTTTTTGCACAACTGTGAATGAAGCTGTTTTGGTCACATGCTTACACATTTCCTGAGGCCAGAAGGCTAACTGCATATGATGGATAAGGTTGGTCTAGTATTTATTACAATTTAACCACTGACTCATCAATAAAAGTAATAGTTTTCAAGGAGCGAGGTGTGATATGAAGATTACTTTGACATCAGGACAAATGACAACAGTTTCTAAAACTCTGCTGATCCATAGCAGGGTTCTTTGGTGGTTAGACTGGAGATTACATATGCTCAGTTGTGGTGCAAGGTAGTGCCTTATATAAGGGCCAGGAAAAAGCAAAATGTCCAGGAGAATCAAGCAGGCATAGTTCCTCCAGAGCTTCCAATTGTAAGTAAGAATTTCTTTCCTTTGGAAAGGGTGTGGATACTGAAAGGCAAAGTTTGAATGCCATTAAACAACTAAGAGTAAACCATTCCAGCGTTGGGTTCCTCACGTTCTGATGAATGGACGGAGGGAAAGCTTTTTCCCTTTGGGGTAACAATACAGCAGTAAGCTTAAGGTGCTTTGGGTGTCTTCAACATGCATTTTTTTACATAGCTTTTCAACACAGTCAGCACCGTGGCTTTCTCAATTTATGGTCAGAACCCTGACTTCTCTATAAAAAAGTATCTAACAGCCACCTCTTCAGCCTCTTGAGTTCAGGGGATATTTCTGTTTCCTAGGCCTCCTGAGAATGGAAGTGAAATTAAATTTTCTCCATCACTGGTCACAAATTGTTTTGGCTCCTTCTGATTTCTCTGGCTTTACCAGGCTGTCTACAAAGTCTCTTCAGAAAAGTTAGTGGAGCCTTCTGTCCTTCAGTCTAGAAGTACCAAAGAGACCAAGTTGTGGACAAGGACCACACTGTACGTAAGCATAGCCCAGAGCTGCTTTAAGGACAAAGGGCGTAAGCAATGACCTGTTCTATCCAGAAGTTAGTGATGGCAAAAAAGCAAATTTGAAAAAAATGCAGTATTTATTATTTTCTGTTAAAGTGGACAAAAACCAATGAAATCTCATTTTCTGAGATCTCTGACTCATCAGTAAAACCCTAATAGAAGATGGCAAAGAAATACTGTCTACTGTTAAAAAAAAAAAAAAAAAGGTTAAAACTGATCACGTATGGAAGAGAATAACAGTTCCTCCCCCTTGAAGGTACTTTTAAGAGTGAAAGAGATCCAGGCCGATGAATAGGAACGTAAAAGGAAACAAACAGAAGTGCTAGTCAGCATGACAGGTACTGGCTAGCCCAACTCCTGACTACCCTTTGTGGCTCCAGTCCACAAAGGTATCTATTCCTATGAAATTATTTCCTGGGAATGCCTCATGTGAGAAGTACCCTCTGCTGAACATGTAAAATGTCATTGTTCTGCCTCTCATTGGGAGCTTTGCAAATGTACTGGTGCCAGGAAAACACAAAACTCCTTTAGCCTAGGAAGAGGGGGAAGCAGTACAGAGACAGTAAAAATAACATGATTGCTTAATCCTTCACTGAAAGAAGTCTAAACACAGGCTTTTCCTATCCTCATTCTGATACACCAGTTTGGAGATATGTCAATTGAGCCAAACCAAAATGTGTAGAGACAAAGGTTTTGAATGGAAGCTTAGACTCAGTCTTTGTTATGAGGCTATTAATTGAATCTTTTCATTTTTAAAATTCATGTGGCTAATTAAGGTAGTGCTGCTGTGACTCATCAGGTGAATAAACAGGCATGTAACTGAGCAGTCTAAATGCACTGCCTGCATTACAGTCACAACTCTTTATGGAGCACATACTGTATACGCTGTGGATGCTGTAGATTATTTCAAAAGAATGTACAAAAGATTTACACCAACCTGAAAATACCACTATGGAACTGAGTTTATTTCTTAAGGGAAATACAAATATGCAATTAATAAAAGGCTCCAGTAGTCTGAAGTAAGTCAGATGAGTATCCAACTTCTTTAACTGAAAATCCAGTAACCTGAACTGCAATAAGAGCATCACATCTTTGAGATATTTTAAAATGCTTAATAGCCCATTAATTTTTCAAAATAAGTGTCTGAGAAATGATGGATTGACTAGTGCCTGATCCTCTTCACTTTACAGCACTGGAAGGCCAAGACTGAAATTTGTTACAACCTCAGGCTCCTCAGTTAAATGAAGGATTAGACCAGCTCTATTGTCAAGTCTGGAGAGCAAACCTTTCCTTCATAGCCTAAGTTAAACTCTGTATGGAAGGGAGAACCTGCCTCAAGGGAGGTCAAACTGCTAAACTACCATGCTGAAGGAACTTCATAGAAAAGAATATCCTCTGTAACTCACTCCAGTTGGTGGGCAGACGTCTCCACTGGTACTCATATTAAACACCAAGGACCACAGCCCCCTTGCAAAATACAACACTGAGTTCTTTGACAAAGTATCTTGAAGATACCACAATATGTCGTTTCTACACGTTAATTTTATTTGCAGAAAGATCCTGCCCTAAAATGCCCCTGAGTTCTTGAGAGTTTGTAACGCACTGGGTTCAGCTGGTCAATGTACACTCTGTCCTGTACTTCCTTAACTTCCCTACACAGTAAATCCTTTCTCTTTCCAATTTATCATGCTTTTTATCATCCAATTTATCAGTCAGGAGATGCTTTAGAATAACAACCTGTCAGATAATTTGAAATTCTGTAGAAATAAAAACCTGAGTCAGCTGCCTGAACTCTCCTGCAAGCTAACCCGAAGGCAATGCAGTGATAATTTGTTGACATGACATCTACCCTCGAATATCTAGTAACACCTCCTCTCTGGAAATTGTCTCTGTAACACCATCATTAACAAGGTCATTACTTATGAAACCAAACACTTATTAAACCACATTCAACAGTATCATTACCAAGCACACAACCATTTAAGCAGATGGGATTGGCACCTGCTTACTGAGTGTACAGGGGTACATGTTTTATATGGGTGAAGAAGCTCTCATTAAGTTGCCGCAGTGACTCAATCTATTCCAAGGGAAGTATCTTAGAAGTGAGACAGGGTTAAGCTGGGTTTGGTCATCTGATCTGACTTCCCACTGACACAAATTTGTTCTTATTGTATATTTCAGATCTGGAGAAAATAAAGGCAACTTGGACTTTGCTCTCTTGGGAGGCCTACTATGCATTAGTCAGAACTGATGTCAATAGATCCATCTTTTATCCACAGACAGAAAGGTCACTTATTTGATCATACCTATAAATTCATTTTCAAGAATGTTAATTCTTGAAAGAGAACCTTCACCTTTCACTCATTTTTTTAATCCTATTAGCCAAATGTTCTAACTTACAGGAACTCATAAGAGGAAGAATTTGGAACCTTTGCATTGTCTTTTTGTCTTTTCATAGTATAATTTTCTCTTTTAGCAGCCCAACAGTGTCAAGATCAACAGGCACTTTCTGTTTCTGAAATGGCTTTTTGTACAGATAAGAGAAGAAAAAAGCTCCCATCTCCTGAGAAAAACGTTCCAACTCTACTTGTCCTTCAGCATCCCTAGCTGAAAATCTCTCTCCGCCATTTATAAAGGAACAAGCCTCTGTTGCTCCCTAATGTTTGTATACTGCCTTTTTTTTTTTTTTTATCCTCAGCAGTTTTGAGTGATTAGTGAGGCTGGGCATTTATGGTCTGCAGTAATTATAGGTGGGGGGTTTTCTATGCTTTGTTTAATGCGAGTTTCTGACTGAGAAATAGAAGCACTAAACCTGTAAAACTAAGATTTCTAATACTACTACTACAAGGAACTTCATTTGTCCACAGATTTTTCACATTTTAATCATGGAATTAAAGTTGGCCCAACTAACAGCTGAGTAGCCTTTTTTTTTTTCTCCTGTTAACTGTATCTCAGCCAATAAAGGTTGTCAAGTCTCATGTCAAGCCAGTTTATCATTCTTCAGGAAGCCCTAGGTAACACTCAGGAAATAAGGCTGCAAAGCTCACTTCAAAAAAAATCGCAGAAACATATCTCTAAGACAAATACCTCTCAACAGTAAATTCGACTATTTTTTCTCTAATAGTAAAAGCAGCTGAGGAAACCACATACTTCAAGACTTCAATAACCATGAAATAAAGCAACTTAGCCATACCTGATCTCTTTTCTCTTTTGAAGGGGACCTAGCAACTGACTGATGCATGAACCTTCATTTAAAGTCTTTTCCCATATCTAAATCCTTCAGTCACAGCTTCAAAAGCTTGAAATACATCTTTATGTTCCAAGAGATGCCTTCATCTCAGTAAGTATCAACATGGAAGAATTTAGAAAATTATCACAGTAACAAGGACATGGCACACAATGCAGCAGAGACGGTATATTCACAAGAAAAGCTCCACAACAACTATGTCATTCAGTAAACTACCCATTAGTGTTTGCCCATGAAACCCACACAGCAAGCTACCATACAGTATTTTCCAGTAGTTTGAAAGTAATTTATCTTTACAGAATGTAATTTAGCTAATATATACTAGTGAATCTTTTTTTTATATGTAATGGCTTACTTTATATTTAGAGGTCTTTGTTCACGAGGCTAGCATTATCTGAGGATGGCGAAACTCAAGCCTTGTATTCCAACTTCTCAGTTTAGTGTTTTAAGAATTTGTACTGTACTGTTGCCTTAGTTTCCCTTTCAGCAGGGCCTCAGTGCAGGGTATTATCATGGCAGGTAAGCTGTCACCAAGGCCACTTAAAGGCATAAGCTCAAGTCCATACAGAAGGGTCCTTCAGACAGCAGTGACGGAGCCATCCGTAGGGACGGATGTAACCAGCCTCCCTGGCTCTGAGCCTCAGCACGACTAATGCTGCGTGCAAAAGAGCTGGAAAAGGAAGCTGGTGACTGCTTTGTTCTCTGTGATGTTGCAGTGGCCTAATTAGTGATCTGAATTGTTCATGGGATTTTGCGTGCCATACAGATCATCCTAACAGTGACAGGCAGCAATTTTTAAAATATGGTAATTACAATCTGTTTCTTTAAATATAAGCACTAAATTTCAATTAATTTTAATGATACGAAAGGTAGAAAGCATCTGTGATGTTCCATTATGAAGACGAACGGGAATCTGTGTTTTTAAAAGACTAATTTACCTAGATCTTCAGAAACATAATTCCCTTCTCAAAAAAGAAATCTTGCCAGTTTGGGTGATCATGCTGTAACGTTCCCATACAACAAGATTTATTTTTGCTGCATGTGCCAAATATAATTCCATCTGAACTGTTAAGATAAGACTAGTTTCTCCCAACAGTAAGCAGAAACACCTGCACACCTCTATCGCCTTCATTAAAAGAAACATGCTTTAAGAGCTCTGGCCTGTCATCTCTGCACTAGTAAACATGTAACAATAATAATGCACCAAATGCCAACTTACTGTACTGCTTAAGAGACATCAAATATAGTAAAGGTACTGTACTAATTACCTATGTATATTTTATGCAGAGCAGCACTGTAGAATGTACCTGTAACACTCCTTGCTTACCTGTATATGTTACCATTCTTAAAAGTTACTGTTTTATAGATATCTATATAAAACATACACCAGTGGTTAATAAAACAATAGTGAACACTGTTTTCTCTTATAATAGCTAAGCACAACACAACATTTAAGTTCCTATGATAAGATCTGCATGGTTTAATACGTTGCAGCAGCACAGCTTAATGACTGTAGCATAATACTGGGAACTGCTGAATTGTAGCTGTGTCTCTGACTCTTTGAGCAAGTCATTAAGATGCTGCAGTCTAGGCAATGAAAAAATGAAGAGACCCCAAATTAGTGGATGTTTGTGCAGTTTTTTATTTTTTTATGTTTGCCTTGATCTTTGCACTTCTCTTGTACTGTGTATAAAACAAGTCTAATGATCCATCATCAGTACCTTCTTGGCATGCTGTGGGGATTAGTTAATGACTGCACAGCTCTTTGAAGATGTTCAGGGCTATTTTATTTTTAATTATGTTTGCAAGTTACTTTGAGCTTCTCTGATGAAAGGGCTTAAAACAAGTACAAAATATCAGGTGGTTATTAGTCCAACATGCAAGAGGCCAATACGAGGAAGTAAAATCAGGCTATGAGAGAAAGGAAGTTTAGCTCCATTTATCAGGCACCTTGGATATGTATGTAAATAATACTGAAATAAAAAAATTAAAACATCATGAGACAAAACATACTGTTCTGAGAAATGGCAGTCTTCCAACACCTGTGCTGTCTAGCAGTTTTCTGTAGAAATTTTGGGGCAGATCTTCAAGGAATATCAGTTACTATAGCTTCCTAATACAGCTCTGGCAGTTTATTCTAACTGAGGATTGGTTTTATATGCTGTGAACAGACTATTCTTCTCTCCTGCCTCCTCGACCTACGCACTCCTGGGATACAGAAGCAGTAGGCAGATCCAGAGAGACCTATTTGCAAGAGTTGTACATTAGGTTCCCAATTAAACCAGCAGCAAAACTCTTATTATATCTCTTTGGGCCCAATCTCATAAACAAAAAAGCCCCGTGACAGCAGCAAAGTGCTAAAAGGATTTCACAAGATTTGTAATGATGTGGGTGACACACAGTTTGCTGGGAATTCTGTTCATTTTGATCTATTGCAAGATAAAGCCCAGGCCTTTGCAATAAGTTTCTGTTTACAGTGTTCTTTCTTTAATCACTCTTCCCTAGTAGGTGAGAGTGGCTAAAAACCAAAGGAAATTGGGAGCTGCTTTAAAGTCAGCAGGAAGTACTGATAAAAAAAAAAAAAAAAAGTCCTTGGGGAGTAAAGTACATCTTTTAATTACAAAATGTGAGTGTTTTGACTTGCAAACACTCAGTCATCTAACTGGCATAGTGCTGCCACACCTCGATTTATCCAGTGTTTCTGGGGCTTGTCTGAAGGGAGTTCAACTGAGAGAACATAGTTGGTTGAGTGGCCAGTCGTGGACAATACACCTCTTCTTGCACTTGTCTTGTACACAGGACATGAATAGATGTTCTTATGTAGAAATTTGGAACTTTCTCCAGGTTTCAGCCAAATTATGGGCAGAGAATCATAAAGGATTTTTGGAAGTGATTCTCCAATCAGCAAGGATTCTCTATCCCATCGTGCACCTTCCAAAAAAAGGCCTTTTACATATGCCCCATCTTCTGGCATTTTCTCCATTGTGTGCTCCTGTTTCATCACCTGGAACGATTAAATCATTTGCTTTATTTCTATATGGGTGTATATTAAATCCTGTAAGTGATAGTCTGAAACTATTCCTTTAAGTGACATTTCTTTTCATTTAGAAACCCTATTCACTGCTGCCTCAGAACATATTTCAAAATGCTCAAGAAAAAAAAAAATTCCTCTGCATTTCCTTACCTCAAATTCAAATCCAATGTGATCAATTGGGATGGTGTATTTTCTAGAATAGTTCTGTAAAACACCTGTCAAAAAGGACTGAGTGAAGTAGAATCCTGATATCCAAAACACTGTGGGTGGTCCATGGATAACCCAATCCTGATTATGGGAGAAAAAATAAACATAAGAAAAAACATATGCCAGGGCTTCACCTTGTAAATTCACCACGGAAGGAATGTCTTTCCAGATACACTTCAACACCACAATGAGAGCTCAACCTTGATTAGACTCTTTGGATGCTACCATTAGATAAATATTACTCACAGGCAACAAAAAAAAAAAAAATCACAGAAGTCAGTTATTTATGACGGTAATAAAAATAATCACTCATTCGGAAACAACCAGAGCTCAGTGCTACCGAAAGAAGTTTCCAAATTAGTGTAAGCATATTTTGGTAAGTCTAGATGCTAGCCAGGAAAAAAAAAAAGGAAAAAAAAGGAGATGGAATTTGGACACACTTATCAAAATACCCACTTTTACAGTCTTGTGAACTCTGATCTAACGTGAAAAAGGATGAGATTTTCCTACACAGTATCTTCACCCAGCACTATGAGGGCAGTCTGTCACTACAGCCAGGGCATATAGACCCTCCCGGAGGATATCATAAAGATGTCAGCCAAGGAGATCCTGGGCTAATATCTTTGATGTGTATCAAAAAGGCAGTAGGAAAAACAAGGCAAGGGCAGAATGTCCCCATAACATTCTAAGTCATTAGGAACCAAAACAAATTAGAGAATCCCACATGGTATTCTAATCCAGCAAACAAGACACTTTTCTGCTTAAAAGAATCTTCCAGACACTTCTTTTTCACCTTTCTCCTCCCATGACTTACTGTATGGGGTTGCAATATATATCTCAGTACCTCACCTGTTTAAGGTACATATGAAATTTTAAGTAATTTTAAAAGTATACTAAGAATGTTAGGGGAATACTTACTGGAAGGGTGAGTAAAGAATTAAATAGCCTGTTCAAAAGGTCTGTAAAAGTGGTATCACTTTTAATAAACTTGGAAGAGATTTACAGGCACATATAAAAATGTCTAACAGTACCTGTTACATACTACAGGATTGTTTCCAAAGCATTCTCACTCCTGATTCAGAGTACTTCGAGCAGGGAAGTCATTAAGGCATCGATGCAAAGTAAAATGCATCTTCTAGAAACAGAAAAATGGGAACTACCAAATATTACAGTGTATTAGAGCCAAAGTACATACTCCTGGCTCACCCTGCTACACAGCTGCAGAGTTAATTCCAATGCTATTAATTCTGTGTATATTTGGTCATGAATGTGTGCAAGTTGGAAGCTCACAATCTGGAAGCTGTAAGGGTACTGCTGAATGAGGACAGTACTGATACACATTTTAGCCGTTTAGCTTTCAACTACCCATCCCGTAGACCTGTCAGTCTCAGTTTGGCATACCTGGAAGAAGACCAAACGAGAGAGGAGATCAGATACATAGCTTCCCAGCGGCTTCAGTGATGGATAGGATTTGGCAGCCCACACTGGCGGTACTTTTCCCATTAACATACTATTGAAAACATCTTCAAGTTCAGATGACATTAACACCTGGCCTTTGATGGCTCTGCCTAAACTGACAAGGCTGCTCCGAACAACTTCTGTAAGCCTACAGTTAAAGAAAAGAAATTGTAACCTCATTATTTACTTCCTATCTGGCCAAAGACTTCCGAGCCTGACTCGAATGAAGGGCTGATTAAAGCTGGAGAATGTCCCATCAGAAATTCCTTATCCTACCTGAAGTTATCAAAATTATTGTTTATCTTGGGAAAAAACAAACAAAGAAACAAAAAACACACAAGAATCAAAAGATGGTGAGATTTCCCCTTTTAGACGAGGGAAATAAATGATAGTTTTAAGCTTCAGCCACTAGCTAACATTGTATATTGTGACTATTAGGATGACTTAAAAGGAATAAAGTGCCTTATCTCAACAAAACAAACTCAAATCTGATGTAAGCGAACACTGCCAGAATATAGGTACTATTTCTGCATTCAGGTAGTCAGCTGCAGCTTTCAAGCCTTGTTAAAAAGGATCATTCCAAGCAGAAGCTATTGTGTTAAGAAGAATTTGTTGTAAAAGCCTTGTAATTATTTAAAGCTTGTGAGCTGCTAGCACTGAGAAACACAAGCATATTTCAGTATTAGTAATGCTATACAAAACACTGAGTCATACCTGTTGAATCGGATCAATTCTTGCCTAAGAACTGTATTCATGGACTCTTCATAAAGTACTGGGTATTTCTTCATAACCTCTTCAACGTTAAAGTCACTTGGTAATTTGGATAAGATTTCCTGTGCCAAATCTTCAACAGTTTCCTGAAATCACAATTTTCAAGTTTGCATTGAATGAGGATTTTTTTTTTTCTACTTTTATTAAATAAATTCATCAAAACTCTACAGGTTTCAGATTTTTACTTTTTAAACGCAACAATATTTTAGTCTATTTTCCTAAACAAATAAAGCTTACACGATCATACTCTCTTTGTACATCAACCTGTCTATGTGTGCATGTGCCTGCTTGCTCCTTCCCTTCCCAATAATTTTAAAACGGTTAGTAACTTCAGTGTAATTTGCAAAAGGGTTTTAGGCAGCTCTTGAGAAAACAGGCAGCAGGGTAGATAAGCATAATCCTACTATTGCCACAATTAAGGAAAAGCCAAAGTAAAGGAAACTAGTTTCCATTGATTCCACTATTCAGGAATCGACTTGTATACAAAATATAGGATGTCAAATCCCTAGGGGTTTGGAAGGTCATTTATGTATGTCTCAACAGGGCATGGATTTGACCTGAGTGACCTGAGGAACTACCGGGATAGGATGAAGGAAAGAAATCCCCAGCATCTCCAAAACAGGTCCCATGGAGGCGTAGACGGCAGGAAGGGTCAGGGTCCAAGTGATTCCATTCTGCCAAACTGCCCCCCTTCTTTGAGCCATACAAAACACTCCAACACAATTACAAGTCTGGGGCTGTAGAAATTGAAGCAGCAAAAATTGCATCTCAGCAACTGAGCATTCAAGAATAATAATATAGAGTGGAAGTGCTGTTATAGCCCAGACTTCCCCAGGAAGGATACTTTTGCCTCTAGTGGGCTCACATTGCTTGCCTGACAGTTGAATGACTTGATGCCATATCCTGGCACCTTGGAGTCTGACCCCTGGGGAGGCTCGCAGGGACGGCCATGCAACCACTGCTGATGAAGTTAGGCTAGTGTATGAACCTCCAGCTGTCAGAATTTGGTGAGTGGAATTAAACGTGATACTGTAAAATTGCCTTGGGATGTGATTCAAGGTGTTTACCGACTGTCTTCTAACCACAATTCAGGACTGAGGTGAAGCACTTCAGTGTTATTTTGAACAGAAATATGAAAGAAACCTTTCTACTCAAACTAGATGTTCTGGTCAACCAGATGGGATCGTGTGGTATTAACCTAGTCGAATTCAAAGTCATTAGAATATCTTCTGTCTGCAAAAGTTCTTCAACCCACAATCTCACTCCATCCCTACGGGGACATTCATATCTGCTCCCAAACCCGCAGCAATGTAATGAGAGGTGTTAGATTCCTCTGAAACCTAGGACATTCCAGAGTGCAAGCTGATCTTTCTTCCCCAATTACCTGAGGAGACTTGCCACCTCCCCCTGCTTCTCTAGGCAAAGTCAGGAGCACTCCACTGAAAAGCTGGTTAGTTTCCTGGTTATCCTTGGTAATGTCTGCATTTTCATGAAGCCCAAACACTTCAGGGTGTGTTGTAATTGGTAAGCCTCGTAGAAATTCAATGTAAGACTGTAAAATAAACATTTAGGTACCAAAAGTCATGCAAGGATATATTCATAAATGATTAGTTAATACAAACACCATCTTTGCAGAACATTCCCATTTACAATCAAACACACAAATTCCCAGTTAAATTACCCAAAAATTGTCTTGCCCAGTCCAGAGAGACTAATATAAAAGTTCTGAACCGTTCAAAGACTCGCTGAGGATTTGTCCTTACTGCCCTCATGCAAGTAGCAAGCTCACCTAATTTCCTACGTTGGCTAATAAACTCTGCTACTGTACTAGAAAGACTGTACTGCCCCATCCATTCTGTATGGAAAGCATGAGAACGGAGCGTTCATAAGAAATATGCAAGGAGCAGTGGCAGGAGTTACAGGAGAGCTTACGATGCTGAGTGGATCAGCCCTGCCACTGGAGGCTATACTAATGGGTGGGATTTGAGCACCTTTGTTACATCCAAGCAGCTGACAGAAGGGAAAAAAGGGAAGGCAATGGAGGCCAGCAAATCTGTGCACTCCTGTATATACCTGCCATTCCACCTCCTCATCCTGATCATTGCTATCATGATAGAAGTGCTTGCAAGAGGGTGCAGAATTCCCCTGCAAAGTCCTGAAGCCTGACTCATATCAGCTTTTCCAGAATTGTATTGGAAACCTGCACAGGGGCGGGACTTTGCAACGACAAACACTGGAATATTGGAAGATCCCTACCTCTCCATTCATGTGTGTTAGATATCAAGTACCAGATCCATATTTTACACATTCTGATATGGCTTTGTGAGCTTATGTTTTTTGTTTATTTGTTTTCTATCTGTTGTACTCACAGTCTCAAAGCACAGGCTTTTGCTAAATGACTTGCATCCATTTTCTCCTCACCTCATACGGACCATGTGGTGGTATGTAGTAGTCCTCTCCAGGTGCAAGCATATACTTGTCCTGCTCTATATCCTTGTTATAGACTACGGAAAGAAGGGACAGGAGAAGACGTCTGTCTTTATCATCTGTTACTCTCCCACCGTAGTTACATTCCCCTGAGAAAGGACAAAAAGTGAGGATGAAAAACTGAAAGTCAATGAACAAGTAAAAAATGTTTAGCATTAATGAATAGCTCCATTAAGCTGAAGACCTGAAGGTCCAGATCTTCAAAAGTTTTTAGGCACTATACTTCCATTGCTTCAACAGACATTAGGCGCTTTAATATCTTTGGGAATACGAACCTAATTTGTGCGTCTTGATAGTGAAAGGTATAAGGAACACTCTGAGCTGGCCTGGGAAACTGCTTCTCGTGCCATAGTGAAAAATGTCACATTTCAAATGGCAGCTCATTTGCTCTAAATTCTCTTAGTAAGAATATTTTAGGCCAGCCACTTTTCAAACCTGATGTAAATTCAAACCTGATTATATATGTACACAGTAGAAAAGAAGGGATTACAAACATGCAGAACCACTGTGCAGAAGAGGTTGGAGAGATTTAAGTAATGGGCAAGCAATGAGGGGAGATTTGTGCCTTGACCAAGATAGAGGAAAAAACCAGCAGTGACATGAAGTGCAGAAAACAGCTAGAAGTTCAGTTTATTATCTTTTTTCCTTAATCCTGACCCCCAAAATTATTTTTTATAAAGCTAAACATAATATTTGATATAGCAAAAATTGGGAATCATCTTTATTCACCATGAGAAAGAAGGTGCCAATAAGTAGCCTTCCTTCTGAAGAATGAGAACTAAACAGCCACAGCAGCCAAGAAATATCTCACTAGTTATTTACACAGGTCAACACCTACTGCTTTAACCTGATGAGGATTATCACATCCTCCGGTAAATTGCCAATGCTTACTCTGTCAGGATCTGCTAAGGTGAAACAGAGACCACTGATGTTTTTATTTGACAAATGTGAAACAAAGACCAGGAGGTTTGCTGGACCATTAGTAACTCTTCCAGCTATATACAAGCGAAGACAGCAATCTGATCTGAGGGCTTGGGATCCAACTTGTCTGTACGTGAAAGGCCAAGAACGTAAACCTGAGTGGAATCCACTGCATTTGTCAAGCACTTACCAGCTTATCACTGTATCAGCTGAAAGTACATAGCAAAGTCAACACGTGTTAGTGAGTGCAACACCTTTACCTGTTAGATATGTCAGAGCTTCAAATGGGATTTCTTCATACTCATTCAGAAACATCTGGATCTGTTGCATACTGATTCTGAGGTCAGACTCATTGAACTCATATGGAATATTCCAACCTGTTCAATCCAGATAAGATGTATCAGCAATGGTGCATTGTACAGATATCCATGCTCAGGAAATGTTGTTGATGGTATTAGACTTCTGCTACAGAACAGAAGATAACAGCTGCCAGACAATACCTAGACAAAGCCACGGCATTTAGCTGGGTGTATACTGCACAAGTGAGAATTACCACTCCGTAACTGTATTTTATCGCAAGGCTCAATTACCATCATTCCATATAATTAAATACGAACCTACAAACACAGGCATTTTGGCATTGCTCACTCCTGAACCACTGTATTTTACCTGGAGTAAAATACAGACCTGCTTGGTACTTTATGCTGATCTGTAGCTCTTTGGAGATGAGGAAAACGGGCGTTTCAATTGATTAATTTCAATTTTTAACCATCTGCCCATCTATTATGCTGTTTGTCTATAACATCTGGAGTAACAGTAAAATAAACAGTTAACCAGGAGCATACTCCAGATAAGAAAATCCTTCAGAAAACCTACACCCCTTGCACAAATGAACAAATAGGTCTACTTCTGCCACTGGACAACTGCTCCCTTGAAGCAGTAGATGTTGCTTTCACAAATCACCTCTTTGTGACTTACAAAAGTCATGTTTTTATTTTAAAGCAATAAAAGATTATCTTTCTTCTGGCAGTCTTGTGTTTATTTACACAGGTGTCTATTAAAATAGGGACAGCGGTTGTCAATCATAAGATAACATTTCACAACCGTTACTATTATCCTGAAGGCAGACACAGGTCAGAATGGAAAGCAGAGAACTTCATGTACGCCCACAGAATGTGCAAGTTTTACACAGTTATAAAAATATTTATAATTGCAGGTATTTTATGAAAAACATCAGAATTCTATACTGTTTTCTAAATATGCCTTGGTCTTTTAAGATTATATATTAAATTTAGTAAACATTGAATCACAAATCTTACTGATATATAACATATTTTCATCGTTGTGTTACGGTCAATACACTGCAACGACATAAATTTCAGTCTCACACCACGTAAACATATGCACTAGCTTTTCTAAAACAAAAGTACGCACATAAATAACAGAAACATTACTGAAGATGCATCTTTAATGATGAAAATTTAAATAGAACTGCTTTTGATAAATAATTTACTGTAGCTGGTGAGAACCACAACAATAAACTAATAATCATCTATTAGGTTACAATTTAATGTAAATAGTGTATGATACATTTACTTGGAAAACTGACACTTTCTAGCCCTCACCCACATTAATACTTTACGTAGCTTCAATAGTAGCTTTGCCTGAATAAGAATCCATGCAGTTAGCAGCTTTTAAAAACTTTATTCTGTTCTGTGAAATACATACTTTACTCTTGTATTGCTGTACTTTTGTAACAGCAATACTACCTTTTCACAGAGAGGGTGTAAAAATGCATTTTTAAACTCCTAATCCTTTTGAGATAATGCGCGGAATAATCTAAACCTTACCCAATGGGCCAAAGTTTCTCCTTTCCTGCACAAGAGCATGGAAAAAGCAAAGGCCAAAAAGCAATTTTTGCCACATTTCTGGCTTTTGGCAACTGCTAAAGAACACAGGGTCAGAGACAGGGTCATTAAGATACGATCGAAGGAGGTTTGCTCTAACCCCTTTTGGAGGTTCATTTGTCATTTTGATGCCATTCTGGAGAATACTAACGGGAAACTTTTCTGATGGATAACTAGTTAACCACAATCTGAAAAGAAGAGAAAAAGCACATCATCATCATCATCATCATCATCAAAAAACTATCAATATTGACAAATCCTCAGTATCTGCAATTGCAGATTGACAATCTGCAGAACATTGAGTTTTATTACTTGTTTAACTGTATTGTTTAGATAACATCTGAATTTGTTCTAAAATGCAGGCATAAAGTAGATGATATTGGACAAGCTGAAAAGATGGCATCATGATTAGGTATCTTCATTTGTCATTGCACATTAAACAACATAAATAGTACTGTTAGTTGTTCATACAAAACACGTTCTATTTCTTTTTATGAGTGTCTCCAGCAAACAAGAAATATTCATAGAAAAGAGTAAGATGTTAAAACTCCTACCTGAACTTATCATTGGTATTCTCAGGCACTATAACTTCCTCACAGATTTTTTCCAAAGCAGGCATCCAGCTGGTTGCAAGATGGCAGTTTTGTAACACAACCCAGGTTCCGTTACTAATAGCCTGATAAATCATATTTGCTGCTATTGGGCCCTGGCCCTGTCCGAGTGAAATAGTTTGAATGCTTGTGCCTCCCATGCCAAGGTCATCAGCAAATTTTAACAAACCTGCGACGGCACGTTTCACACATGGGAAGAAAGACACAGAAGTCAATATATTTTACTCAAATAAGAATAACAACCACCCAGAAGCAGTATCAAATGCTGTATCAGTCACTGTGTTTCTTAGGCACTTGCTACAATGTAGATGTATAAAGCAAAACAGAAAGATATACTAGCCAGGTTAAATGCCTGTCCTCTCCTTCAGTCCTGCCTGCTCATTCCCAGCCTGTGTTACGGCTCCCTGCTCTCTCTGGTTCCTGGTACAACTGTTTCTGGATCAACATCTAAAGATCTGGGTTAAAAACAAACCTCCAGCTTTGCCCTCAAAGCCAGCACCTCCTGGAAATATATCCTTACAGTATGGCTCCATATTACAATGGAACCATTTCTGCCCATTCTTTTGGCAGAAAAAAAGATTTAAAAATAACCTGGGTGGTTATTTTTTAAAGGGCTTTTAACCAAAGTGCTTTAGAGTGTGCTGATATACACCATTTCATCAGCAACCAAGAGAGAGGAAACTTCCTGGAGGAGGAGCTTCAGGAACACTAGGGCAAGTCCCAAAAACCCACCAGCTTAATTGTAACATAAGCGTGAATTAGAATCTGGCCTGGATGTGCAAACCTGTTAGACCCCTGGAGAGCTGCTCAGAGATCTAGACATTTCATCACCAGCACATTCACCTCGCCCTCCAGCAATTTTACTATAATTTCCTACATACGGACTGATGCAAATGTTTGAAATAGAAGCTAATACCATCACTGCTGTATTGCACTTTAAAGATCAAATGAAGGGGCCTATACTTCATTATAAGTTTAGTCACGCTCAGTGTCATTTAATCAGACAAAAAAAGATTTTTTTTAATACTAATCTCACCTGCCATAGGATCAGCACCTGGTGATAATACAAAAATCAAAGGGGCACAGCAACTGGAATCATTGTAACTTCCTCCAAGATCAAAAGTAGGTGGTTCGATAAATGTTCTTCCCATATTTTCTATAATGAACATCTGCACTGCTGGAACAATCTTGTCAGGTCTCAAACATCTGAGAATAACCATGCGATCTAACCCCAGTAACGTGTTCCACACATCTGGGAAAGCTTCTTCATGGGGTCTTACAGAGTCATATATTAGTTTCCACTTTGAACCATTCTCTCTTACATGTTCCATTAGTCCCTGAAGGTTTGTCAGACAAGATGCACGAACTAGCTCAGCCCATGATTTGTCAGATAGCCATTCTGGAGCTGGATTGGGGTGAGGATTATCAAGAGCAACACCTCCTGTCAGTAGGAAACGCCAAACCTCATCATCTATTTGGTCTTTTCCCTTCATAATCCCTACTGTCAGAAGGAAGGAGAATAACAGTTTATCTTTCTCGAACAGTGAACGACAGACATTATTATAGATGCTTATTGTGAAATGCTCAATTATATTTTTAATTCTCTCTTCCAGATCGTCACTCTTTTTGCTATTAGCAATAGATTGAACATACAAGTTAACGAACCAAATCAATGAATACTGATACATAGGTTCGATGTTTGCCAGATCAGAGATGCAGAAGAAGACAACAGCTGAATGAATAGCAACTGGTTTATACCCCATCCGAGTAGAATCTATTTGCATTTCAGTTACAGAAGCAATTTTTTGCTTTTCAGAGATTTCTTCAGATAACTCTTTGGATGAAGACAAAATATTAATCGCTGTTTCATCTTCTAAGATATTTCCTTCTGACTTTGAAAGGACCTCCAGGATTTTATCTTCTATTTCCTTTAATTGTTTCTTGTTGGCTGCACTTTTTATAATCAGTTTATTTTTCTTTTCTTCTAGCTCAGGTTTTTCCTTTGCAGCTACAGTTCCAAGAAGTTGATCCTGAAGACCCAGAGGCGTAATCATGAAGTTGAGTAGACAAACTTTCACAGCCACCTCAGGAAGATAATGAGGATTTCTTAAACGGGTTGTTATGTAAAACCTGAAATCTCTTGAATATTCAATTGTATTTTCTCCTAACTTCATGTATTCTACTCCTTGCTGTTTGAATGTTAGCTTTAATAAAATGGGTTCTATGAAAGCATCTAGTTCTTCACCAATATCTTCTAGCAAGACTGGTGTTCCAAGCTGAATAGCATTCTCTAATGTCCTCACATAATTTGTATCAGATAATTTGATAACTGAAAGCTTGTTATTTTTCTCCATATTTTTTACCCACTTGTTAGCTTGCCTTTGAGGATCTATCATTAAAGCCCATCTTCTTGAGTTAGAAACAATTAAGCCATTGTCAATGGAAAAGGAATCAATTGGCAATCCAGCAATTTGCCATGCACGAATTTTGACTGGGTCCCCTAGCGTATTACTTAAGCTAAAATCATTGGAGCACGGTATGTTCTTCTCATTGCACAGGACTTGCCATTGCTTTTGACATTCTAGGCGATAATCTACACTGAAGGCTCCCAAATAAGCAACTGTTCCTGAAGATAACAATACGTCTCCTGTAAGGTCTATATATCGGATTCCTAACAATCGCGCAGCTTCTGTCCACCTATCTTTCTCCCCACCAAGACCACTAATTAGCTGTTCAGCTCTCACAAGCTTTTCTGAACAGATTTCAATATTATTTTCTAATTCTCTCTTCCGGTCATTCATGCTTTCCAACTCATCATTCAACGCTTGGAGGTGATCAACTACCTCCTTAAGTTCTGCTTGTTTCGTTTTTAGCTTCTTCATTTGAACATCCAGTAATCCTTCTGCATCTCTCAAACGTTCACGCTTTGGGGCAACCACTTTTGCAACACGATCGTATACCTCCATGGCTCGCACCCACTTGCATAGCCCTTCACAGGCAGACGACACATTTTTTATGACAGCTGGCTGAAAATCTGGATGACCAATAAACCTCTCTCTGATTTTCTTCATTATAGCAGGAGGAATGTTATCCTTGTCATATGTCTTTAAGCTCTCAAGGAATTTCAGATCTCCAAGAATTTTTCTAGAGGGTCCCCAGTAGTCTTCTAACATTTTACCTATATTGCACATAATGATAAAATCAGGCTTAAATCATGAATGTTCAAACTGAAAAAATATTTGAAACATAATATGAAGAATTAATATCAGTGGTTTTGCAACAGAATTTTACTACACAACCACTGTTAAGTAGTTTAAGAAATTCCTGAGCTACAGAAATTCAGACAGGAACGTTAGCACCATTAATCTATGTCGCACAGAAGCTACTATGCATATCTATTAATTACATATTAATTCTAAATCAACCAAAAGCAAAATAAGGGAAACAAATTACTATACACCAGTATACATCCTTTGTGTATTAAACTATTTGTTTAATACACAAATCAGTAACTGTGTTAAGGAGTTTCTTCCTAATCCCAGTAGGACAGTTTTGGACGAAAGATACATTTATAGAAGTCTTATTTCAATTATTAAGGGTTAAAATGTGGGGGAATAAGGTAGAAGAAAAGTGAAAGAAACAAGTCCCTTTCCTTCCCTACATTATAAATCCTGTGCGATTCCATAATACGACCACGATCAGCACAGAAAGAGCTAGTTAGAGTAATTATCTAAGGCAGCGGTTAGCCAGAATTCTGTCTCCCAACATATGAGACAGTGTTCGGTAACAGAGATTAGAATGCAAAATACAGGTGAAGGGTGTACAGCACATCTCAAGCTCCTGGAGTTCCTCAAGGCCATGCGAATCTCAGGATGGGGTAAGAGTAAGTTGAAGAAATGACTTTGTGCCCACTAGGAACATATTACAAAGCTTGTATAACTATGTCAAGCTAGTGTAATATGTTACAATGACAAAATAAGCTCTTAGCTATACAATGTTATTATAAGTCATTGCTAGCAAAAATTCACTTTTGGTGCACGTGGCTACAGCCACACTAGAAGCATTTCGCTAGTACATCACAGCAGTACCCCAAGAATTCCTAGGGCAGGGATAACACAAATACCCGTCATTACCACTGCCACTTGGATCAGGCTTTCTCTCTGGTTTCATTCCCTTCATGACACAGATACTCTCCATGACAAGCTTAACAGGACCCGGTGGATTCTGCATGGATTTCACAAGAGAGATGTCTGAAGGATTCAGGGTATCAAGAGCTGCAAGTGCTGCCTCCAAAGCTGGCATGGCCTCAGCAAGGTCTCCTTCACATTCATCCTGAAAAGACATCGCGCAGAAGCCTGTAACCCTTCATACGGTATCAGGCCCGCAAGCTGACTAATCCACTCCGAGAAATTCCTGCATAGCGACAGTGAACCTTCTGTGCCTGTAAGTAAGACTCTTCACAAGAAAAAGACATAAAAAAGACTCTTCACTACACTGGGCTTCTCGCACAGACAACTACTTTCACAATCTCAGTGGTTTAAAGAGGGAGGGCTTGTAGAGAAACGCAGTAACTTCCATTAGACGAACTGATAGCTGAGAAGTCAGACAAGTTTTCAAACTCAAAGTCCCTTCTGCTCTGAAAAGGAGCACCAAAGTACACGTTAGATACAACTGCTAGTTAAATCTTACAGTGCTAAGCAAGAAGAAAACATATATTGTGTAGCTTAAATCCTTTATCAGGCATGTGGTGCTATTACAGCAGAGGCAACAATTATGCCAGACCTCAGCAATTCTACATCACTGGCATTTCCAGCTAATCACAAAAAATACTGAGGAATCTTGCAGCTTCCGACAGAAAGCTCTGTGCGACAGACATCTGTCTGTGGTCATATCTCTTAAGCTGTATCTAATAGGGCTCAATGCAGTGCTATGCCAAGTTACCTCACCTAAGTCTGAATCAACTGTCTCAGCAGTTGAAACAGCATCACCTCATGACTCAGGCTAATCAGATCTGCTGGGAAGGACAATATATTCGTACAGAAACAGCAGCTATACAGCTTTCGGGATCTGAACTAGCCTAGTGAGATTTAGTAAGGGAAGCCATGCTGTACTGTAAGATGTGGTCATATCCCAAACACAGCCAAAATTTACCTTGTTTACATTAGGCACATCTCTTGCAACTTTGATACTTTAGGAGCTTGGATCAGCCCATTAACACATCATCACAACTCCCATTTACTTGGAAAGAAGTTGGAATGCATTGCCACTGTGTTTCAGGCTTACGCCCTTGTAAACTACCTTAATAGCCTGAGCAACAGCTGCAGCTTCATTAGCCTCTTTTTCATCTGCAGACACTAGTTCCTTCTTTGCATCTACTGCAACCGTTTCCTTTTCAATCTGGATCATCATTTTCTCTGTTTCTGCAGAAGTTCGTATCAGTTCAGGCTGAAGGGCAGTCAGTTCCTTCTGCATCTCTACAACCTGATCAACATAACAGGAAATCGAGAAGAAATTCTTCTAAGTATTGCATGCATTTCTCCTTGATGTCTTAGGAAGAAAGATCAGAAGACAACTATATTAACACAATCTAAAAAGGGACATTTGATCTAAAATAATTATTAAAATAGTGCTCTAGCCTACTTTCACTAATTAGGAGTTGTTTTACATAACCTAATAGATTAAAAAAAAAAAAACTGAGTAATTTTATTTTTTTCCTTACAGTGAGTTTCACTTTATGGAACCTAAAATAATTCTGTCTTACATAGGTGGAGAAAAAATCCGGAAGAAACTAGGAAGGGAGCACAGAGCTAGTGACAGCAGCAGCTTCAAACTCGATATTCTTCATGAGGCAAGTGTCTGGCAGCCCCTTTATTTTGTGTGTTGGAAAGACTTGTCCCTGGATCACCAGGGTTGAGAAAGGGGGGTTACACAGGGGACCTGACCGGTTTCCTACCAGGCATCTACTCAGAAATTCATTTTTGTTATCATCTTACAATCTTCAGCTTCTCCCCTATTTTGAAAAGGGTAATAGGTACTAAGATGCTGAGCCATGGATTCTCCACATAAGGTTTTGAAAAACAACTAAATTTGTAAGGCTTTTTTCCTTCTACTTTTGATGAGTACCATCAATTTCTTTTAGCTTTCTATTACATGCTATAATCCAAAGTTATATATCACAGTTTTTTAAAACAGCTAACTTTTGCTGGTGGTTTTCTGAAGAAAATTATTAATAATATGAAGAATACAGTGAAGAGGGAATAAAGATTGCAGCTGTAATTAGCACATACAGACGCCCTGTACTAAAGTACTCATATGCCACACGCTCAGTGTTTTCAGCTGAAACTTACTTGTGAAGACGCAAAGTCGAGTTTTTGAAGTCCCATAAGATAACGGTTTCTCATCAGGTCAACTTCTTGCCTTTTGCTATGCAGTAGAGTCTTAAAGGTGAGAATCAATTCCAGATAAGAAGTTGGTGTTACATAGTTGTGTCTTCGCAACGTACTGTAGTAGCTGATGGAAAGCTCTCTCACACTTTCTTGGAAATACTTGCACATTGACACAACCCTAGAGAAAATTTATCCACGTTATCATGTAAATAGTCTGTCATTATACTAATTGTGAGGAAACTACTCTTAAGCCTACGAAATTATATGAGTGTTAGACACAATTGTTTCTCCACCATTACCAAAATATTTTGGATCAAATCCTCCTTTGACAGAATGGCCTGATTTTCCGAAACAGCAGACACGTGTAGCTAGACATCTTTGACTCCCACTGAAGTCAAAGAGTTGGCTTAGCTTGGCCCATTTACAAGGACAGTTGGCCCATTTACAAGGACAGTTTGCTGATTATGTATGTTTGATAAAGGGGAGGTAACCCTCTGCTTCACACATTTCTTGAGAGAGAAACTCATACCCTTTTCTAATGTCATCTTCGAGTTCAACATCCTCTAAAAACTTGTTAGCAACCATTTCCAAAGCATCGGTAGGCCAGGTTTGGAACCAATCAATGGTGCAGCAGTTTATCAGTGAAGGGAACATCCGTAATCGATTCCTGAACGCATTTCCAATAGGGCTCATTGCTAGGAAAAAAAAAAAAACATAATTGTTACCTAAGTTTGGTTGCAATACAAGGCAGGAAGCAATAGGAAGCAATAAAAATTACCCTAAGAAAGAATACACTATACAGACCTAAGACAATATGCAAATTTTTCTTCACCCTTTCAATAAAGAAATTGTACATAGCAAGGGGAGTGGCTTCAATTTTCCTGTTCTCTGTCCTTGCTGCACCTTGCATTTTCTCTACAATTTCAGCTTTCTCATCAGCTGCAAAGATATTAGGCACATCACCAGTATTTAAAAGCATGTTGATATCTTCTACAAATGCTTCATCCTTTATTTGATTATCAATATCCTCTTTCCATTCATTTATTCCATAGGATTTTGTAATTTCAATTTGAAAGAGCTCAAAGGTATTCATGTAGGTGGCCAGCTTGGTAGCACTTTGTCGACCACTCCCACCAATTCCCACCAGCAACAGATGCCCATTGTCCTGCTTCAGTACCCTGCATATCCTTGAGATATGCTCAATAGCAAATTTGAACATGACCAAGGACATTGGTGCTTTGCTGACATTGTTGTACTCCTCAAGGTAGTATTCCATCATGGCTGTCAGTTGCTTTAAGTTTGTGATTTCATCATACACTTTTACATTACTGTCCGGCTTCAAATAGTCTCCAAAGAACAGGCTGCGAATATTATCGTCAGAGATCTTGCCGGTAGGCGAGAGATGACTCAGTACCTACAGAAAAGGCAAGAATCAACAGATAATTCAGACTATTATAGAATTATTTTCCTTAAAGTAATAGCCATCCTCATCCACCTAGTAATGATACTGTAGGAAGCACTCTTTTACAGCTGTTCTAGTTATTACCTTTGTCTAAAATAAAACAAAACCAAAAACACCTAAATGGTGTAATATACTGTAGGCTGACATGCAGGTTTCCACCTGTGCATATCTTGCAGAGCGATTTTGCTGTCAAATATAGGACAAGCTCCCAAAAGGCTTCTCACAAAGTACCCACTACTCCCATGGGCTCTTTCAAACGCTAAATTAAGCAAGAGCACAGATAAATATTGTGTAAGATACTTATTCCAGATAGTCCTCTGTATCTGCGCAGAATCTTTCTGAAGTCATGAGTCATTCCTAAACGGAGTAATTTGTACCAACTTGCCTAAGAATATGTACACTACATAATACAAATAGAAGCTCATCTGAACTTTGTAAATGCACTGATGGAAATCATTCAAAATGTGTCCAATGCTAACGCAATCTCAGACATCTAAATATTTCTGGAAACGTGTCAGTCTCGTTCTTGGGCCTAGCGCGTTACCCCAAAATACCTTATCAATGCTCTGCTTGAAGCTACTTGATGTTGTCTCTTTTACCATCTGAAAGAATACTTCCCTGTCCTCCTTATCAACCAAGCGATCATAGAAAACTCGGTAAACCTCATGAATCCAAAGTCTGATCAGCTTATCTCCATCCTGAAAAGGTAGACACAAGAAAATGGGTAAATATAGCTCAGGCAGAATTTGTTTGAAAACAAAACGATGGAAATGTCCATCTGGACCCAGCTATATCTTGTACTAAACTCAGTAAGAACCTTTCAGCTTCAAGCCATCCAGCACATGGCTCAGCATCTGCTAACCTAATTGCCTAATAAGCAGCCAGTTAATAACCATCTTATCTAACCCTAACAACCTTCTTATCTTTCCTACCAATACGATCTGGGACGGTTATGTTAAAGCATTTTTCTCTACTGTATCAACCTTCCCCCAACATAAAATAAAGGATAAGCCTTTCTATGGGATGGCTCACAGGCTGTAATCCTAGCCTTGCTCAAACTTGGCTGCTGTCTAAGATGCCCCCTGAATAGCTTGTAGCCACTTAGTTCTGTTTCTGCACCGGAAACACTCCCCCTGATAGAAGTAAATCTTTTAATATTTCTCTAAACTGTCATTTTAGTGTAAAAAGACGAAAAAAATAAAAGGATGAACGTCATATACATCCAGCACTATTTATTTCTGGTGTGTGATGACCACTAAAAGCCTTTCTGGGCTGCATCATTCAGTCTTCTTCACTGATTCCCATTCGTAAAAGAGAGAAAATAAATCTTTTTCTCACATTTGTTTCTTTTGTATATTTAGTTTTCAAGTACAAGTAAACAATATTAATGAAAATGACAGGTGTCTACTTCAGTCAGAGACAGACAAAAAGTACATAGCACGGTATTCAAGAGCTATTGTGATTTTTATAACATGTAAATATCCTGAAATCTTAGTTCATGTATTTTATGAGGTGTTTGTTTACTAATATTACATCAATAATTTTAATTTGTCCATTGCTCTTTCTTACAGGAATGTAATTAAAAAGGAGCTTACTTGCAAGTGAGTGTGTGGACAGAGCAGCACTCCTTTAATAACCCGGGAAAAATCACGTAGATTAAAGACATAATGGGATTTGGAAGGAGTTGGGAGAAAATTCTCAACTGCCATTTTATAAATTGCCATTGTAGCATAGACCATCATCTTACCTAGCCTTCACAGGGAAAAAGAGACACAATTATATGAGATCTGCAGACAAATTACAAGAGAAAATACGACAAAGGTGTTACTGGAAATGTATCATATTACCTTAGAAACACAGACTCAAAGCCTTTGCTAAAGTGCCAGTCAGCAATTGCAGTAAAAATCTTGAGTAATATGTCATCATCAAAAGAACGTATAGATACAATATTCAAGTGTCGTGTGAAGCGTCCTATAATATACAGAAAAAGATGCAGAAAAATCTAGGAATGTCCAAGCTTTTTTCCACCCCACAGTCAGCATTTGTCTAGGACTGACTCTCACAAGAGGTAGACTCAAACAACGCTTGACTCAGGATCCAGCTCCAAGATTTTGTTGCTGGCAAATTTCTGCACCAGCAGTAAAACAAAAGGCATATAAACTGGTTCATATTTTGTGTATTTCTCTTAGAAGAACTTCTGTTTTAGTATGGAAGACGTGAATCTCCATTACGTTAAGACGATTACTACACAGATTTAAATTTCAGTTCACGTTAGCCCAGTTGGTCATGATTTGGCATAGTAAAACTTCACAAAAGAACTACCTTGTTCTCAGGTTCAATTTAAAAATTCAGTCTATACACTAGCAAATTTTACAATTTTAGCTGTATCAGAATAGTTATTGTAATAAAGTCTCCTCAAAGCACAGTTATAGAGTGTTTATAGAAAGCAAAATAAGTTATACTGGCATAAAGTGCCTTATAACAGCATAGCTGTTACTAAATTAGTGCTTTTATTGACATTAACTTTTTCATTAAAAAGTATCACCTCCCTTATGCTGATGTGATAGGAATAAAGGACTTGCAGGGAACAAGCTACCGCTGTTGTAAGTACAGCCAGCCTATCTTAGCAGTAGGAGATCCAATTTCAGATGAGAATTTACATGGCAACCAGACAGACCTAGCAAGAAAATGCGTTCTCTTCCCTTTCCAAAGGACAGACAGTGGAAAAAGCGTCCAATTTCTCAAAGGTTACTACTGTTTTCATCATTTGTTTCTAATTTGATTAAACTCATCCTAAAGAAAGGTACGGATTTGAACATGAACATATAGACGACTTCTCTTTGGAGTGACCCAGATAACGAACATATCTGTAGGTTTACAAGTGACAGATAAAGGTAGAATTTGTCAGCAGCAAAACCAAACCGTCCTCTTAACTTCAGTCACTTAGATAACTACAAGCACTCATGATGTATTTTTCTCTCATGCTTATATAGATTGCACGATACTTTACAGATTTCCTACCTGTAATATCATTCCTGCCTCCCCCAGGTGGGCCCATGGCTGAAACAAGCAGGACATCTATGATATTAATCTTGGATGTATCTTTCTTGTCATACCAGTGACCATGATCAATCCATTGTCTGAGAAGTTCAATAGGCGGCTGGGCTCCATACACTTCCTTTGCAGGCATGTTTAGGTCATCTACAGAGGACAGAGGTATTGAGGAAAAAACCTTCAGTGGTTAGGAACCATATCTTATAAATCTACGAAGAAAAAACAACTCAACTAGAGGTTGTTACTTTCTCTTCCCAATAAATTAACCAGAATCAAATGACATTACACTTTGCAGGCAGACTCAGTCACAGGTGATGGTTTAACTTCGTCTGGCTGGTAATTTTTTGTTTTATTTTTATTTCAGGTCACATTGAGACACATTTAAAATGAGTCAATGAACTATTCTGAACACAAGCATCACTTAATCAAATAGCAACCTTTCAGCAGGGGGCAGTGCTAATCCCTCCCTGGACATCCTAAAAAACCAAAAAGCACTGAGGCAACCAGCAATTACCCATCTCTGTGAACCGCTTCCTTTGCCTAAAGCCAGAATTTAAATGATAAAAAAAAATGAAAAAAAAAGTCTTACCCACAAATAATATAGCTTTTTTTCCCACAGGAGGCCCAAATAATCCTTTTCTTCTTCTGTCCAGCTTAGACATAATAATATCCTGGGTTTGGGTAGCAGATGTTCTTGCAGAGAAGTTGATGAAGCTTGGGATGTATTTCTCCTTTGGAAGTTGTAGCAAAAAACTGTTTGTGATAGCTGATTTTCCAGTGCCAGTGGGACCCACAAAAAGCAAAGGGACATTATGCTCCACATATGTTTTAAGAAAAAACATTTGTCTGGCAGTTTCCATTGTCGGAATGATTAGATCAGACACCTGTTACACATGGAAGTAAACCAGTACATGAAAAATCAAACATCCAATACCATAATCAACACAAACATTTGCAAGCCTGTAGAACAAATCTGAAATTCATTTCTCTGTGAAAACCTAGGTTATAACAAGGTTCTGACAGATACTACAGATGGTACTGTTTTTTGTTGAATGTTTATACGGTAGCTAACACAACGGACATTTGTCTATATTATGGCTCACAGACCCTACATAAAAACCACAGGGAGAACTGCAGGGTTAAGCATGACTTAATTCTGTCTCCCTTCTGTGCAAAGGGAAAGTACAGTGCTATAGAAATTTCTTTCTCTTCCACATATCACTAGTAGGGCAGCTGTGCACCAGAAAAGATTTTTGACAACAGAATAAAATGTAATCTGAACATCTCTCATGTACTTAATGGGCAAGACAGTTTTACCTACAATGGAATGAAAAACTGAACAAACATTAATTAAATTATCGTGAAATGACATGTGCAGGACAGGTACTTTATACAGAACTCTGTTGTGTTACAGTTTCCTCGAGTTCAAAGCTGCCATAAAATGCAAGTGCCTCCATTTGAAAATGGAAGGGATTTGGGACTTCTTAGTATCATTCTCCCTATCCCAAAGCAGTAATAAGTCTGTTTGCCTGGTTTATCTGATTAACTGATCTCATACTACCACAGTATCAACCACAGAAACAAAGAACAAATACACAGAAAATTAAGGATTTAATTTTTTCCTACCATGATTTCCACAACACCAAATGCTATTACAGGGACAAAAGCAAAACCAAACACTTGATTCACCAGTCAGCCTCAGGACTCCACATTCACCTGCAGTGATGAGCTTTAAAATATCGATGGTACCAGAACCAAAATTTAAGGGTGAAAAGGTGCCTACACAGGTTAACGGAAGGTTGCAGATCAAACATTAAAGAGCCTAATATAATGCAATCAGAGCTAGCAACGGCTGCGCATGTATACCTCTAAATCAAATCATTTTTGTCAAATGATTACTATCTATAACGAAACTTATCAGTGTGAACCTTAGCCGCTGGAGAGATAACTTGCTCTTCTTTTGTGATGTAATCAGTCCACATGTTCCACTGCCCACTGCCATACTTGTAAAAATAAAAGTCAAAAACACTCCCTGTTAATTGAAAAACAGAATATAGAAAAATTCACTGATTAAAGAACAGAAATAAACTCCTTTCATTTTAGTGTGCAAAGTTCTGAAATTTTACCCCGTTCTTTTTGTTATCCCTCGTTTAGCAATAACTCCAATACAAGACGTTTTGGCTCTTCACACAGTCACCTTCGTGAGATAATGAAGGCCTCCTAGCACAAGAGACCTTCCCCCACCCACTGCTGTTATCATTAGGAAATTATTTTAGGGCTGACTCAGCCACACTGTTTGAGTGCAGTCTGAGGCATATGCTACTCCTGGTTAGAACAGCAGGGAAAAGGCACTGAACTGTGCAGCCCAAGGCTGGCCACATGATAGCTCTGCTGCAGAGTTAACATCTGCCAGGCATCTCTTACAGTGCTTCTTGCTTTATAAAGCACCAAGCAAGTACAGTTACGAAGAAGCACCTTTTTCTGGGAAGATATTGTTTTTAGTGAGCTTCACACTTCTGGGGCGTGGGTTTCCATCATCCGTTCCCATCAGCAAGTTGCGGTAAAACAAATCAAATTTTTTTCTGCTGTCTGCATCGATGGTCCCGCCAACTGTCCAAACCAAAGCAAAAAGGAAAAGTCCCTGCAGCCACAAGAAGATCTGTTGACTAGACATGCTTTCCTCCTCCTCTTCCCTGGACTTCTTTATTTCATCTAAAACACATATTTTGATTTTTAGTTGAATGCCATTAATAAGCATAAATCCCAATTCAAAATGCATTTGGCAAAAGTATTCTGAGATAGAGCATTTTCTTCAGTGAAACAAAGCCAATCTACATAGAGTGATGATCTTGTATTTGCCAGATGTGTAAAATACTGTCTTCAAATAAAAACAAATGAGAGGGAAAATTATTTTATTTATTATCCTGTATTTCTAATTCTGACGTTAGCAAACAGCAAGCAAAACCTATGCAATACACTCAGAAGATCACGTTCCATTTCGTAACGACACTGATGTCCAAACGTGACAGCTCTGTATGCTAATCAAAGTGCTATTGTTGATGCTAATCAGTGAGAAAGGAATTGTATCTTATGATTTCAACCAGTAAAGGAATTTCTTTGGTACTTCCTTACATCTGATGACCTGCATCTTGTTACGAGACACATAAGGAAAAAAAGAAAAATTGAAATAAAAAGAATAAGGCTTAGCGTACTTACCAAGCAGACAACTATAGAGTTTCATCATGCTGTAAGTCAGATGAATAGAGGACGTTTGGACTATGACTTTGCAATGAAGGTGAATAAAGTCTAAACAGGGCTGGACTAGCCACATAAACATGTCATTGACCTGCCAGGAAAAAAGAAATCGCTTTAAAACAACGCAGCAGTTGCTGTATGTTCCATTGCCACATGATTCTCTCTCAATAAAACATAAGGCATCAGAAATTCTCCCTAACTTGACAGAGAAGATCAGGAAAGGACCTGCCTGAGACAGTAAAGAAGCAATCACAAAGCCACAGCATCATTATCTGACGGTGAAAATAAGTGGCTTCTGCCACAAAGAGGTTTTCACCAGGAATTTTGTTACCCACTTACTAATCCAGACAGCAGAGCGCTGCCTCTGCCTAGGGAGACTGCTGCTCTGCTCGGGCAACAAGAAAATTATTCCAATGGAAACAAAGACAAAGGCTTCTTCATCCCAGAAGGACCAGCCTCTACTGAGGACCCAGCATAGACAATGCATTGCAGCAGGAGTTCCAGACATCAGCCTGGTACCTGTGGGAGCTCCACAGCATGCAGGGGAGTAATGACCAAGGCTGACGGTATCTGCTCCATGGACGAGTGGGAGAACAGGAGGGGAATCATAACCCAGCCTCTTCCCGAGGACCGCTACTCAAGGAGAAGTACTGAAGAGTCAAGTTATTTGCTGGTTAAGAAATAATTATTTTGCTTTGATGAAGAAAGAAGACTGCTCCAATAAAGAGCTCTTCTACTGTTCATACTTCTTTTGAATTTGGTCCCAATTTCCTGCAAAAACTCAAAGGGGGTCTGTCAGATCACAGCAATCAAAGCTTTCTCCAGCTCTAATCCTACTGTGAACTGATTTTTCTGACTCTTTTACTGGATTTTAAATGCCCAGTGAGAATTTTACTTTTGATAAGACTAAAAGCTGATTCCCTCCAATATGTGCTTTTGTTTGTATCTACCCTGAAGATATAATATAATACACAACACAAAGAGCTCTCATCCGTGCAAGCAATCCAACTCACGAAGGACTATTTAGCAAAGATTACTGAGGTGAATAAGGCTTTTCAGATTAAGTTCTTAATGATAATAATATTATTATAAGCATTTCTCAGGCTATGCTCTAAATGTCTCAAACAGAAGGATGAGTTCAAAACATTGCTAGTCTTCTAATGTTTCCCACGTTGTCTTTCTAGTACCTGTGGCCTGTAGCAACATCTGACATCCATTACTACAAACTAATTTACAAAAGCCTCTAGGAGGCTTAGAAGCTCCTAAATC